AGGGGCTTTCCTGAGCCTGTGGAGGGTACAAAGGTATGCAAACCTTTCTTTTTTCTTTTTTTCTGGAGAGGTTTTTGCTATAGGGCACGTGTGCTTGCCAGAAAGACACAGAAAGACAGAGAGACAGAAAATGAGAAATCACCCCCCAGGGGGGATGGCCACGCCGCAATCCCTTCTCCTCCATTGTCCTATTGGGATCTTGAGCACACACGCACACACATCCTGCATGAGTTTAAGCCACCAGGTCCGGGACACGAATTGCGATCGACCACATGGGAGTCCAGCAACATAGGCATTACGCTAACTGCTGGTCCCTGCAAACCTTTTTTGACATTGAAGAGTTTATTGCTCGAGCATGACTCTTAGGATTCCTCCTGCATTCTTGGAGTGAGATTTCCCTGGGTGGCCTTGAAGAGTCCTCATCATGGCAAGGTGCAAAACCACAGAAAGTCTTCCGCATGGGTTTTCCTTGAATTTCATCTTGTTTTCCATAGTTCACTGAGATGCCTCAGTGGGAGGTGTAGAAACTACAAGTGCCTAATTCTCGAAGTCATCCTGTTGACTCTGGCCCTACTACTCTACCTGCAGATTTATAAAGCCCAAATGTTATTTATTGCTGTTAGCTTGATGGTTCTGGTTCAGGGTCTCTTATGAGGTTGCAATTAAGATGTTGGCTAGGCCTGTAGTCCTCTGAAGGCTTGACTAGGACTGGTGGTCCAGTTACATGACTGATGAAATAATGCTGGCTGTTTGCTGAGGGTGTCAGTTCCTCCCTACATACATTTTTCTATAGGGCTGCTTGAGTATCCTTCCAATATGGCTGCTTGCCAGTGAACCAAAATATGCACTTCCAGAGAATACAGGTAGAAGCTGCAGGGAGTTTATAACCTACTCTAAGAAGTCACACTCCATTAATTCCTCAATGTCCTATTGGTTACAGAGTCAGCCCTATTAAATGTAGAAAGAACTATGTGAGACTATGAATGAAACAAGAATCACTGAGGCCATCTTGGAAGCTGGTTACTTTAGTATATGAGACAAGTGCCTAGTGGAAGAATTTTTCCAATATACAATAGTTGCTAACAATTATCCTGTATTTGCTATGTTATGGGCACTACTGAAAGTGCTTGCATGTATTGATTCCTTTCATCTTTGCGACAACCCTATGAGGTACTATTATCCTTATTTTATAGGTGTGGAAACTGAGGTACTAAGAGGTTAAGTGATTTGCCCAGTAGCATTCTCTTAGTATGTAGAAAACGCAAGATTGAAACTCAGGTAGTCTAGCTGCAGAAGCCACATTTGTAAGTTCTGTGCTATCCTGTGTCTTAGTTATATTAAATTCTATCACCATGGCTTGTGTCATAATTGTTTTGTGGGAGTGGGGAAAGAAATAGCCAAGGATGAGAGGGAACTAAAGTATAGGTGGACTGTTTGCTGTTGTGCTAAGAATAGCACATTCAAGAATCCAGAAGCTCCAGTTCTACTAGAAAGGTCATGATCTACACAGTGACCCTCTGCACCACCCTCGACAATAGCAGGCTTCCTGTTTCCCATTGCTGCATGGGAATAACCTCGGGATGGCTTCTGAAGTTATATACATGCCAGACCAAGCTACTGAAGCATTCTCACACCTCCCTGGAAAAGAATACAATTAACTTTCCCCTTTAAATAAACTCTCCAAGCTAGTCTATTAACAGTTATCTGCTATCTGCCACCAGGGAGTGCATGCAGGCAGGTGGGGAGCATCTCGCTCACCTCTGTTTGATGAGTGTTGGGCAGTAAATTATAAACGAAAATCCAACCCTCACAGAATGACCCTGCACACACGTTTGAGCCCAGGAGAATGTTAATTTGCACCAGAAGAAAGCAACTGTATATCCCAAGAGTGACCTGGCTTATCTCTGTGGCCCCCGAAGTGGAGCTGGGATGGAGTAGACCAGTTGTACATCAACACATTTACATAGTTGTTGTTCTGCACAAGGCCACCTGCAAGGTCAGGCCACCTACTTCTGGGGCCTCGTGTCTCAGAAGAAGCTGCCTTGCTAACCTTTGAGGGGAAAACCAACAGGGTTTGTCACAAAGAAATACAAAGCGTGACTCAGAGTAGGGTGAAGGCATGAGAGAAGAGCCTGGAGAGGACAGTAAGTGGGCAAGCTGCCATTTTGTTGCTCTGGCTACACAGTCCTTTTTCTTTCTTTCTTTCTTTTTGGCTCAGGAGATGATTTAACATGTGGCTCACAGCTGACTCTGGTGGGAATCTCAGATAAATGATGAGAAGACAGGTAACACCTGGGCACCTTTTTACCACTCTGTGTGATAGAGGATGGGGCCAGATGGCATCCGCTCTTCTCTCCCTTATTTATGGAAGGCTCTACTCACTTCCCATCTGGAAGAAGAGAGGGAGGGAATGTGTTCAGGGGTAGGAAACAATGTGTATGAGCAAACTGATTCTGGTAAGCCAATGAGCAAGGACATGACCACTGAGGCCCATCTATCTCTTCCAAAAGACTTCAGTTTGTGGGTTGATCAAAGACTCTTTGAATGTCATAATGACAGGTAACACTCATATAGCATTTACACTGAACCCAATATGCTTCCAAGAGCAACGCCCAGCAATCCTGTAAGGTAAATGTACTACCTACTATATTATTCCTGTTTTACAGACAAGGAAACTAAGGCACAGGGAAATTGAGTAACCTGCCCATGTTTACCCAGTCATGTAAGTGGCAGAGCCAAGATGGAAGATATAGAGCCCCTGTTTCATCATCACCAGGCCCCACTGTTTTTCAGAGAGGGAGGAAACTTATGGCCATCTGATTTGGCATTTCCCAAGCATCACTCATTCCTAAACCATCTTCATAATCTTGGCAAAGTCTATAGTCCCATCTCTAATGTTGTTTACTTAACATTTTTCTATGACTACTTCACTGTTTACCTAAATCCTATTTTTTTTAAGAGGCTTTTGCCTTAGAGCTCATGGACTTGCCAGAGAGAGAGAGCCAAACACAGTGAGAGGGAAAGTGAGGAATCACCCCCTGGGGGGATGGCCATGCCACAATCCTTTTGCCTCCATTCTCCTCCGGAATCTTGGGCACACACACACACATAAGCCCCTCATGAATTTCAAGCCATTAGGTCGAGGACTCAAACCAAAGTCAGCCATGTGGGAGTCCAGCGACATAATCACTATGCCATCTGCTGGTCCCCTAAATCCTCTTACTTTAAAAGGAAGATTAATGTTCCTACTAGAGATGAAAAATTATCATTTGACATACATAGAAAAGAAATGTAAAGATAAATTCGGTGGAAGCAACGTTACTAAATCTTTGCTAGGTATTGCTGTCCACTCAAGTTCTGGAAGCTAAAAAGGAGGGATGAAAGTGAACAGAAAAGGGAATTGCTTCTGTAGTATTTCTCAGGGTCTCTGAAACTGCCTTGTTTGCCTCCTATATCCCAAGAAAGCCAGTTAGGCCCATGTTCCCTTCTCACCACCAAGGACACTGAGGCTCAGAGAAGGGAACTGTTTTGCTCATCAGTGGCTGAGCTGGGTTGAGCACTCAGAACCCACAACTCCCAAGCAGTGAGCCCCATTTCTAGACACATTCTCATGCATGCCTCACCTACCAGGTCAATTCCTGGGATAATTCCTGCAACTTACATCCTGACTATGTTTCTGCCACCTCAGTTGGATATATTTTCAGACTAATTCCAAATCTCTGCCATCCCAGCTATCATCGTCCATTCTGAAGACAGCCCTTGGCCACATGTGATGGATGGAGCAGTGATTGGGGATCAGCACCCCTCAACTAGTGGAGTCTGCTAAGCCAATCATAATGGAGGCCGAAAGCACATGTTCTGTGTACTTCAGTGAATCAGAGTGAGATCATGGATTTGAAAATGTTCTTGTGAAAAACATTGCTCTTAAAAATGCAAGCTCATATTCACTCTAACACTCACTTTTCTGGCATCCACAAGTGATGAGAACCATGAAGGAAGGGAAAAGGCATCTGAATAGACAAAACACATATCTCCAAGTTGACTCATGCATTTGTGGGACATCTACGTATTCCACTGCTCTGTGTGCCAGGTGCTAGTGAGGATTAAGGAATACCACTCTGATACCATGTTGTCACCTACTCGAAGAGACTCACAGTGTAGAAGACAAACACAATGTATTCAAACGATGTATACACACCCTCACCCAAAGCATCATCAGTCTTATGTAGACTCAAGTCAAACAAGCGGATCATCTGTTTTCTTAAATCACACAACTTTACAACTAACAGATGAGGAGAGCGGAGCTATTTTGAAGGCAAGACAAACTGTCCTGATGCAGAAGATGGTCTGACTCGGAGAAAAGAGCTCATAAGAAAATCAAGAGTTAGGAATGTGTGCACTGAAGTCTGGAGTCATTGAAGTCTGGAGTTATTTAGTGGAAAGACACAAAACTCCCACAAAAACTTAGACACTTCATAGGCCCCAAGGTTTGTTGCTTTTCAGAATATGAAACAAATTATTCATACAGAGCTCCTGAATTGAGGGCTTTGCACTGGCTGTCCTTTCATTTGCCTGACTGTTTACCTGTGGGGTCTCTGGTCAAATGTCCCAGTCTCAATGAGACCCACTCTGATCCTCTTCTAAATCGATCCCATCTGGGTTCTTGGACTCTCTTCTACCTTTTTTCCCCCGGAGTACTTGATTTCTGGCATACTATGTATTATCTGTGTATCTAGCTATCTATCTGGTCATTCACCATGGTTTTTGTTTGACTACTCCCACGTTTGCTATTTGAGTACAAGGGTGTTCATTTTTGTTCCCTGATAGAGCTTGTGTCCTGAGCCTGTAGTTGGCACTTAATAAATACTGATTGACCTCAGTCTCAAGGAAAGGTCAAATGGTAGTTATATTTTGAAAGCGAAGCACTTCCGTCTTCATCATCTGTCACATGATAGCATGTCCGTGGGCACATCACTTTGATCTTTGGAGAGCAGGGGCCCAGAAGTGCTCATTTTTATCTCTGCACTAGTCTCTTCTCAGAAACTTCCCAACATGACTTCCCACAGAAGAGCTTCTACAGAAAAACAGGTTTTATGATTATTATTTTCCAATTACCCTATTTTCTCTTTCTATATTTGTTAGAGGAGTCTTTAAAAAGTCACTGGAAGATAATACATCAGGATTTCTAGACCATGTCTGACACAAAGAGGTGTAAGTATTGCAATTTCCTTATTTATGCACACCCACTTAAAGCAAAAGGGGCTGGCAGGTGGTGTGGTGGTTAAGGGTGTGGGACTCCCACATGGTTAATGGGGATTCGAGTCCCTGACCTGGCTGCTTGCTTCCTCACTTTCCTTCTCTCTCTCACTCTGTCCCTCTCTGGTCAAAAAAAAAAAAATTAATCAAATAAATCAATAAAGTTAAATAAAATAATTCTTAAGAAAAAAAAAGAAGCAAAACAGAAAGACAACTATAAAGGCGAAAGTTTAAAATTAGCAACTTGCTTAATGAAAGTACCTTTTTGTCCCGACCCAGGGGGACAGTCGAACAGGTTCCCTGGGGAAGGGAGTGAGAGATGGGACAAACACATGCACACATGCACACAGAGTGGAGACAATATGAGGTGTTGATCAAGTCTTCCATCTTCTTCTTCCCTTTATTGAGGAAAAATGGTGAGTTATATACAGGCTGGTGGGCACCGATTGGTTGCCCGAAATGCAAATGAGATAGAACAGCATGAACCAATCATTGGTGTGGGTGGATCTCTCCCATTGCCTAGAAACCCAACTGCCCCTCAGGGAGAACAGTTGGTCACATGATTTCTGAGAAACGTTTGCTCAGTGAGGAAGTGAAGCCTAATGGTTTCCAAGATGGTGGATAGCTCAAGATGGCTTCCGTATGTAGTGCCCTCCACACCTTTTAAGACTACTGTTGCTGCAGCAACGCAGGGCAATCTTGGTGGTCACTTCCTATGGAATTGTATGGAAGTGAAACATTACCTTGACCCTGCGCATCTGTTTGGCCAGTCTAGTACAGACTAGAATACAGAAAATGAAAACATTTTTAGCCAGTGAAATTACTTTTACTGGAGCAAAAGAAACCTCTCAAGTCTAAGTGTTTTTCTTCTTTTAAAAAAAAAGGCATAATTTGTTGGACATTAAAATAACAAAAGGGCTTTGAGAAAGGATTATGGGTTTCTGATGTTTCACCACTAGAATAGATTTACTTTATATCCGACTGATGTTGTAATCTTGCATTCCGAGGTAACGTTTTAGCTCCTTCTCTTCACATAAATACAGATTTCGAGGATAGCACTTCAGTCCTTCTCTGGAGAATTCCTTTAGCTTTCCCCCCCTCAGACTCTCAGACTTTTTAAACCATTTCGCTGGGCCGCTGTATAAATTGGATGCAGGACTTCTATCGAGGAAGAGAACTCATTACCAGAGGTTTTCATTGCCACGAGCTTTAAAATGGGAAATGCTGAAAATCTGGAGAGTTTGAATGGCATCTGATGCTTCTCCTAACCAGGAGGAGGAGAAATTCCGTTTTTTGAAACGGAGAGTTCAAAGTTCTCTTCTTAAACCAAAAGGCGCGCCTGGCCCTGGGATTTCTCTGAGCCGCAGGCTGCTGATGAATACTTGCTTGGGGTAATTCTGATTTCAGAAAGAAAGCGCCTATGTTTACAACCCAGGCTTGCCTGCTAATCACAGGCGTCTCCTTCCCCCTTGGAACCTCAGCTTGACTCGCTCGCAACTCTCTCCGGGCAGCATAGATTTAATTAGGGCTAAATCTCTTTAAAAATTCACATATATATTCCTTTCCATGTAAAGCAACTACAGAAACTACCCAGGCTTTGAATATCTTTTGAAACCGAAACAACTATATGTAAATAGAGCACTGTTATTTACCAACAAGGGAACAAAAAGCCCTGGGCAGCCCCTCAGCTCCCAGCTCGCTGGAGAACTTCTCTCCCCAGCAACTTCATAGTTATTAGCTTGATTGCCAACTTGGGTTTATTATTCACACACTCACCCTGGGCCTGGCCTTTGAATGCAAAGGAAAAATGGTGTTTATGTTCCAGACTTTTTTTTTTTTCTTTATTCTCGTGACTGAAGTATTTTCTGCCTTTGCAGAAGTAGCAGGGAGGAAGTAGATGCTGGAATTACCTTCAACAAGCAGGCAAAGGAGGCGATGCTCTGGAGCTATGGTAGGGACCCTGGGAAGGTGGGGAGCACAGGGGTGTGCAGCCTACAGCATGCTTCCCATGCCTCTGTACACTTGGGCAGTACAAGAAAGACCCACTACCTTACAAAGATGGCCGCCACCCAACTGAATGACAGAACTGCTCTTTCCAGCCAATTAAACACATCCTATTCATTGGGTGTTACTTGGATTAGTTTTGAAGATGAAAATTTATGAGCATGTTGAAGTGCTTTAAAGAAAAGTCTTCGTATTTGACCAATACAAAATGACAGGGATAAATCTAAACTTTTCTCCAAAAAGGCTCTTATTCAAAATCTATTGCTTAAACAGGAATCTAAAACAAGAATACCTGCAGATATTTTGACTAGAAAAAAAAATCAATCAGACAATTACAGAAAGTACAGAATATTCTGTGTTTGACCTCAACAATAATAATTGGAATGTGGTTCCAATATACTCCACTTCCTCCCTAATCACTACAAAAGAATAAACCAACTGTTTTCACTTTATTCTCAAAAGCATTTGTCCTTGTTGTTGAGGTTTAAAACAAATATTTTTAGAAACAGAGCCTACAGAGCTTCTCTAGCAAATATGGTGGGGAGGTGATTTCTTGCTTTCCCTCTCACTGTCTCTATCTCTCTCCAGCAAGTGCACGTGCCCAAATAGCAAGAGCATTGATTGTTCTCACTGAGGTTGGGAGGTGAGCCTGCGCCTCGTGGCGGTCATCTCGGCCAGGGCCGGTGGTGACTGAGTTGTGAGCCCAGCTCCTTACTCTCCTTGTCGTTTCCTTCCCTTGAGATAGGTGGCAGATTTATTTTTCCTAATTTCTCCTATACCGAGTGTGTGCAGTGTTCCTTCAACTTCTAATTAATGTGAGAATAGAGAATCAAAGAGGGTATCCCTCCAAAGAGTTGTTGTTGAAGAGTGACAAATTAATCCCCTTGGATATGCCTGGAGGCAGGCAAGATAGCTTCTGTTTTGTTTTGCAAAATTCTGCAATTAGATGTGCAAAAGTTCCCTGTTCAGTAAAGATTTTGTTGACAAATTTCATCCATTTCAGAAAACACACGCGCGCACACACACACACACACACACACACACATGCATGCACACATTTTCAGGGAATAATTCTGAAAAGAACATATTTTTAGAGCATTAAAAAACGGCACCAAGTTCTGCTTCCTCCTCCCTCCATTGTTCCTTTTCACCTCCCTGTAGTACCTCACTCCTGGGCCTCACAGTTGGAGTGGGCTCACAACCTCCTCAGGCAGATACTGATTTACAGATAGAACTTGGATACCCCTTTCCTCATTTGAGCCCTAAAATACTCCTGGGAGGTATTATTATTGTCCCTCCCATTTTACAGATGAAGAAACTGAGGCTCAGAGCAGTTAAGTGACATATGCAAGTTGCACTGAGAGTAACTACATGCTGGAGCCAGGTTTCCACCCGAGACGGTTTTAATCCACATTCCAGCTTCTTGTCCTAAGGTCCCTGACTGCTTGTAGATTTCATGGAAGTGGGAATGAAAGCTGGACCTGGCAACCCAAAGATCAACGTATGAAATGGAAGATGATTACAGATCATGCTTTAAAGTTAAGTAGTTTGTTTTTGCTTAATGCTTGCAGAATTAGGACCTTAATTTCTCATAAATCAATGCCCTTCGATCTATGATGGTCTTAGAAATGAACCCTGAGGTGAACCATAATCAGGCAGGCTAAACCTGTTATCCACTGTTTTTTTTGTTTTGTTTTGTTTTTTGCTTTTGTTTATTGTATTTTTTCCACTTAAAGAAAGTAGCTAGTGAAATGCCACTGGAACTGGAACACCCTTCTCCCTTTCTTCCAGATTGGATTTGTGTCAGTCTCCTCCCCCAATACCAGTTCAGAAATTGGTGTCCACAGCGTATAATTTGCTTTTTTTTTTTTTCTTTGCGTCAGTTCTTTAAATCATCATATTTTGGCCAGACTGCATAAAATAACATCAAGATGTGTTTTTCCTTTTTGAACTCTCGAAGGGAAGAGAGAGGAACTGACATTTCTTGGGCTCCTGCTCCACTCCAGGCACTGTGTGCTAAGCTAGTGGTATTCAATCTTCCCAGCAGCACTAGGTGGGAAGAATTCTTATTTCTGTCTCTCAGATGCACAATTTGATCTCGTTAATGGAGAAGCTAATGTGGTAAGGGTCCAGAGAAGTGACTGGCGACCTGCTGAATCTATCCTGCCTTTCACACTGTCCCCCCAACATGATAGAGAGAGGGGAAGTAAGAAATCACCTCCCAATGGAATGGCCATACTGCTATCCCTTCTCCTCCATTCTCTTCCTGAGATTTTGGGCATGCATACACATGTGCCTGGTGTGATTTACAAGCCACCAGATTGGAACTGAAACCATGGTCAGCCATGTGGGAGTCCAGCGCCTTACCACCACGTCACCAGGTAGCCTCGGTGGATTATCATTTTTATTAGCCATGCGTTTTGAATACGAGGCTTAAAGAATATGACACTTAAAATGTATATAGTGTCTCTTGCATGCGTCTTCGTATTTGACCAATACAAAATGACAGGGATAAATCTAAACTTTTCTCCAAAAAGGCTCTTATTCAAAATCTATTGCTTAAACAGGAATCTAAAACAAGAATACCTGCAGATATTTTGACTAGAAAAAAAAATCAATCAGACAATTACAGAAAGTACAGAATATTCTGTGTTTGACCTCAACAATAATAATTGGAATGTGGTTCCAATATACTCCACTTCCTCCCTAATCACTACAAAAGAATAAACCAACTGTTTTCACTTTATTCTCAAAAGCATTTGTCCTTGTTGTTGAGGTTTAAAACAAATATTTTTAGAAACAGAGCCTACAGAGCTTCTCTAGCAAAT